ATGAGATATCAAAGTGGAAATATTCAGTAATTGGTGGATATATGAATTTAGAGCTTAGTCAAGAAGAATGAAGTATGAACATAAGTTTGGGCATCGCTGGCATAGAGATTATATCCAAAACGATAGGACAATATGAGATGAGATCATGAGAAAGAGACAGTCCAGTGGAAAGATAAAAGGGTCCAGGACAAGACCCTGAAGAACTACAAGATCTGAGCACCTGATACCACAGATCAGATAGGTGCCAAATTTTAGAAAAGGAGAAAGTCTGCAACCTGCCCACTATGCCCCCAACTCCACACAGCTGTGGTTTGTTTGCCAGATGATGTTAACTAACTACAAGTCTAACTTTCATTGTCATTTGTAAAAAAAAATAAAGACTGGGTAAGGGGTATGTGTATGTGTGTGAAAGAGGGAGTGTGTGTGTGTGTGTGTGTAATCATGTGACTTTAAGTAATGAGACTGATTTTTTTAGTGTGGCTCATAAACCAGCTCTGTAGGCAATTTTGAGAAAATATCTGATTAGTAAGACAAATCAGATATACTTGATACTTTATACTTGAGAACTTGTTATGCATTTGGATTATAACAAGCCTCTTGTGTGCACAAGTCACTCCTCTATTACTTCTTCATTATAAACTTGGCAATGGAAAAGTGTACTAATTCTGTAATGGCAACCAAAGAATAAGTTTTTACATTATGTCCAGTGTACATGGAATATGGACACAACTGCCTCCATTTAGAGAGCAGTTTGAATAAACAAGCTCAAAGTTTAATTTTTTTAAAGTTTCTTGTTTCTGTTAGTCATTTTGTTCACTAAACCAGAAAAATACCTACCATCGTGACATACATTCTGAAATGACTGACTGTATATGCACGTGTGTGTATGTCTTAAATACAATGTCATCTAAAAGAAGTCTTTATTCGGATGCATATGAATTTGTTAGGTTATGAGTCTATGTGATCTGTTGGGTTAATAGTCAAACCATATATCCTCATTAGGACATGTATATAATGACAACTACAAGTTGTGTTTTCAACAAATACAATTACCAGATTTTATCATTCATTAAGCACTTCACAGATACTTGAGAGATAGAATTTAAAATTTTCTCAGTTAAAAATATAAAAATATTGATCACTGGTCATTTTGATACAGTCCAAAACAGTTCTAAAAGGCTATAAATCTTCACAATGCTTAGTCTGTGTAGATTAGCTTCTGAGCAGCATACTCTCCCATTGGAATGCTGTCTCCTTTTCAATTTCCTCTAAAGTCTTTTCATATGTCTTCAGTAAAATCAGAAATATGTGAAGATAGAGGTGTTGTTTTCTTTCAGTAATGATTCAATAGTGATAGAAGTTATTCAGGAAGGATCAACAATTTATAAATTTATGAGATTACATGGGATATGATTATTAAAATTGTATCTTTCTCCATTTCTGTTTCTGATACTTTAAATTAATAATCAAATTGAAAATGTACTAAACATATTTCTTATATATTCTCTCATATACTTCCTTATACATCCCCTGGATAGCCTTATAAAAATGAATGAACAAATAATACCATATATGATTACCAATAATACACAGACTGTGTGAAAAGTCCAGAAACATAAGGAAAATATTTTATTTACTATGTTTTTTCAGATTAATAACTGCTAAAATTTAAAAATGCTTTACCTATAAAAGAATGTGGGGAATAAAGAAATATACATCATATATCTATAATATTTTATAGAAATGTAAGTGTATCTTGATTTTATTTTTACTTTACATGGTGGAACTCAGCTGCTCAGAATCTGATTAATGATAATTTTTGGTTTGTGTCATTCTCATCATTTGTTTAGACATAGCCACTTTTATTCATTTTTAAAATTACTGAATTATTTATTTTTCATAGTGGAATAATCATCTATAAATCCACTATCCAAAACAAAAGCTAGGACTCTAACAATAGCCCACATCCACCCTCTAGTTTCCCCACCAACCCATCCCCCTCCTTCCTCCTACCCAAGGGATCCACCACCCAGAATCTTAGGTTCCTTGTTCCTTTGATCTCATTTTAGTGGCATGTAGATCAATATAAATTAATTAATCACAAAATTATATGCCTTAGTTTGAGCTAATTTTTTTTCTAACTCTTCTCTCATATCATTGTAGGCATGGTTAGGACAGCGATATGTAGTTTTTACTGCCACAATGTTCTCTTCTAATACCCGACCTCCCTAGGCAGAATGCCTGGACATGAGATCATGTATTCACTATAAGCTCTCCAGACATTCATTCTTCCTTACTCTAGAAACCCCATCTCATCCCAAATGATTTGAAAACATCGAAAAGATTTCTATTGACTACATAGGTTGATAAAAGCTTTTATTTTATTAAAATATACAGTGCTATACAGACACATTTATAAACTCACAATCATTAGATTGCAAAGGCATACAGAACTGGCCCAAGTGGTTAACGATTTTTAAAAGCTATTCAATCAGATTTCTGAATTTTCATGTTCCTTTCTCATAAGGCATCAGTTAATTTAAATGCAAAGTCACATTTAAGTTTAATCTTGGGCATCTGAAATAAAGGACTAATGAATGACCTTTAAATTGGGCAACAGCAAGAATAGGATAGAAATGCTGCTGCAAACCTCCTCAGTCAGCAAAAGCAAGGTGAGTGTGATGACAATTCAAGGTTTTACTACCCTTTGTTAAGATACATGGAATTTTCAAGAGTAGAAGAGTGAGGGTAGTGATTAAAATGAGGTAGGAGCATAAAAATGTGGTCCTGAAACCTTTCTGCCTATCCCACTTCAGTAACCTGGACAGTAGCGTCCAGTACAACAAAGTGAGTTTGCTAGTGTGGTGTACATTATTCATGAAATAGCAACTTTCATTCTGAATATAGATATTTAAAAGCATCAAGCATGTTTGAGGGGGCTTAGTTGAAACTGTGCATTTCTGATTATAACATTTGCTCACTGTGAGACAATGCAGATATATATTTCTCAAAATGATGTCAAATTGCCAAAGTTGCTAACCAGAAAATTCTTTCATAGACAGTGCAGTGTTTAACCTTTCCTTTCTTCACTTTTCTTTAATATCCCCCACTCCTAAATGAGTTGAATTGGTTCTATTTAAACAAAAGACACATTGAAATTCTCAAGAAATTGACTCACCTGTCTTTTATGTTGCAGGGTATTTTTTTTACAATATACAATATGCATTATAATGTTATAAATATTTTAATTTCTTAAGGATATTGAACTACAGTGTCCTTTAAAAAGGACTTTTACAACTTACTGCTGCAAATATTAACACTTAATCATAGGAGAAAATAACATTAAAATAGTTCAAGGATAGAAATCACACATGGTGGAGTTGCTCTCGAACATTAATAAGGCCACAAACTCATTTATACATAATCTATAAGCTTGAGGAAGTTATAAACCTTATAATGATAAGGACCCTAAAAAAGGTTAAGATCTTTGGCCAATATTTTTCATTCAGGCTTATAAATACATTTTTCCTGTCCCAAATGTACCAACATAGGCTATTTGGAAGAGAAACAAAGGGAAGTGAAAAGCAAATGTTTATAGCAAGTACTAACCCAAGAAACAGGACTTCCCACTTAAGATACACAAAAGGAACTCTAATTCTTTTACCAGCAATTCATACTCTCTGGAGATCAGGACCAATAAGATAGCACTGGTCTGGTGAAGCTAGCATAAAGTATATAAATCAAAGAGAGTCACTCATGTCAACCAAGATGGCTGCCAGTCAGCTGTGACAACTTTGGTTCAAGAGGGAAACCACCTAAGTCAGAGCAGACACATCTGGCAAGGAGGCACACCCAAGATATCTGCACATGTGATCAGAACAGCTGGGTCTACTGAGCAGGGCCACCCACAGATAGGCTCCTGGGGATATTCCCCACTTGCTATCAGGGGTGCCAAGACACTTATCAAGAGACCCAGAAGAGTGGAGTACACCACTTTCAAGGCTCCAGACCACTGCTGAGACAGCTGAGCTCCACACCAGAGTTCTGCTCCAAACCATGCTGATTCCCCTTGGCATCCGCCACCATCTCCCCTGCTGCCCACCTGGCTCTGGAAATCCTTCCTTCCAAGACGATGTTAGCCCACTATGCTGTCTCCTAGACCTAAAGACTGAGGCTCTGGGACTCAGGTTCATTATTTCCCGTTGATTGCTGTGTGTGTTATAATTCTCTTAGATTGTTAGAGTGTGAGTAGGGTATTGATGTATGTTGATATTCTACTTTGAGTGAACCTATATTCAATAAAAGCTGTGAGTGAATGGCATAGTTACCTTGTGTGACTCTTGTCTGTTCCTTGGTTCCTTTCCTGGCTGCCCAGCAGGCAGCTAGCCTTGCAGTTGCCCTGCTGACTTATAGGAAGGACTGTATCAGGAACATATGCTCCTGACACACTCCTAACTCTCCTTTCATAGAACAGAGAAGCATAGCCCAGGAAGAGACCAGCAGTTAAATAGTGCTGCCTTTGATGGGGAAGGGAGATATTTACATTTCTCACAAGATTTTTTTCTCCCCACAGTCTCAGCCCTAATGAAAGCTGGTGCCTATTACAAATTGTTGTGAGGCCAACTCCACCACTCCGGATGAGGCACAATGGACAGGCGTAGGCTGTGAGCAAGTTCCTTTTCTGCAGCTCTTCCTGTTAGTGTTCAGCAAATTGGGGATCTGGAGTTCTAAAACTGCCTAAATGTGAAAAAAACGATACCCCTCACCCCAATAGCAACTTTACCCCCACCCCCACCCTGCTGTTAGGAGGGTGTTTGGCCTTCTGGCTGACTTCGTTCCCAGTGCTCTAGCGCCAACTGTGTTCCTGACCCCAGAATGAATCAGGGCTGCACCGGGCCTGGCAGAGCTCCCAACACATTTCCTGTCTCGGGCTAAGGGAAGCAGCGGTCAGGACTCTGGTGGGGACCCTTGGAGGTTGGGGCGGGAGTGGGGCGGGAGAAGTAAATGTAAAACCAGCTGTAGAGGGCGGTGACCGTGCTCTAAGGACAATTCCGTGCCCCTGGGCGGGACAGATCTAAGTTGGGAGCAGCTGTGAGCAGGAGACCTCCAAGATGAGGCCGGCTCTTGCCCTGTGCTTTCTCTGGCAGGCTTTCTGGCACCAGCCGAGCCATGGTGAGCACCCCACCGCCGACCGCACCGGCTGCTCCACCTCGGGGGCCTGCTACAGCCTGCACCACTCGAGCATCAAGCGGCAGGCGGCCCAAGAGGCCTGCAACCTGCGCGGTGGGGCTCTCAGCACTGTCCGCGGGGGCACTGAGCTCCGTACAGTGCTCGCTCTACTGCGGGCAGGCCCCGGGCCTGGAGGGGGCTCCAAAGACCTTCTGTTCTGGGTGGCGCTGGAGCGCGGGCGATCCCACTGCACCTTGAAGGATGAGCCATTGCGGGGTTTCTCCTGGTTGTCCTCCGACGTCAGCGAGTCGGAAATCGACACGCTGCCGTGGGTGCAGGAGCCTCAACTCTCCTGCACTTCGAGGAGTTGCGCTGGACTCCAGGCCACCGCGGGGGTCAAGCCCGAAGGCTGGAAGGAGATGCGCTGTCACACACGCGCCAACGGCTACCTGTGCAAGTACCAGTTTGAGGGCTTGTGCCCCGCACCGCGCCCCGGCGCCGCCTCTAACTTGAGCTACCGCACGCCCTACCAGCTGCACAGCTCGGCACTGGACTTCAGTCCCCCGGAGACCAAGGTGAGTGCGCTCTGCCCCGGGCAGCAATCCATCACAGCCACCTGCATCGTGGACGAGGTCGGCGCTCGCTGGAACGGGATACCCCCCGGGGCTGTGCTCTGTCCCTGTCCTGGGGGGTACATCCGTGCTGGCAAATGTGCGGAGCTCAATGATTGCCTAGATGACTTGGAAGGCTTTGTCTGCGAGTGTGCTGTGGGCTTCGTGCTGGGGAAAAACGGACGCTCTTGTGTAACCAATGGAGAAGAACAGCCGAACCCTGCGGGAACCAAAGTGCCTACCAGGCACCCGCCGGCCACTGGAACCAGCCCCATGCCAAGGAGAACGTGGTCACCCAGGGTCCATGAGAAACAAGGAGAGAAAACTCACATCCCTGGACAAGGCAGTTCAGCAACATATATTCCCGAGACTCCTGGGTGGGAAGCACAGAGCACATTGCCTACTCTTCACTTGTCCCTTCAAACCAACTCAAAGGCCTCCATCACTTCTTCAGGAAGCGTTATTCCCACGTCTAATTCGTCTTCCGCTGACATTCCCCAGGCTTTGGACTCCTCCTCCACCGTGGTCTTCATACTTGTGAGCATAGCAGTAGTAGTGTTGGTGATCTTGACCATGACTGTACTGGGGCTTTTCAAACTGTGTTTTCACAAAAGCCCTTCTTCCCGGTCACGAAAGGGGACTTTGGCCTCTCCTGGTGTGGAAAGTGATGCTGAGGTCACCGCTCTGCGCTGCAGTTCTGCACACAATGCAGACAATGGGGTGAAGGTCGCAGTCTGCGGGACAGAACAGAGGGCGCCTCACTGACTGGGTCTTCTTTGGGCTCCGGAGATACATAGGGAAACGGGACAGTGAGCACTTACTGTGTGCAGTTTTACACTTTCAATAAAAAGGGAAAAGGAAAAAAGGAACTTATCTGTGGGACTGATAACTTCTATATAAGTTCCCTTCTCTAAATACCCTCTACTCCACGGAGGAGGAGTACATCTGAACTGGCCGCTCCTTCTCTAATACTGTAAAGGTGGAAGTGCCTTACATTGGTACAGGGGCCCAGGATTCTACTGGGGAGAGGTATTTTCTTGTGTTTGTCCTGGGGATTTCAAGAAGTGATTGAACCTTTTAAGACGTTGGAGGCAAACAGAAAACAATACAATTTTTAAAAATTTTATTTTTACCTTGATGGAAAGAAAAACTCTGCCTACTCTGTTCAGACTGGGAGTATATTGGTTTAAAATTCCCAGGCAAACAATAAAGGATTGATGCTAACCCAGGCTCAAATATCATTTGTTTCCTGGAGGAGTGATTTTTTTAGGAAGAGCTCCTGAGGGGCACGCTGGGCACTGCAAAGAAAGTACTTTCTGCTTTATGTTGAGGGGAAAGCTTTAAGTTTGTATGAGGAGGAGCAGAAGTTTAAGAACTAGTAACTTTTCATTTTTTTCTTTGTTTTTTCATACTTTGGTTTCAAAGTCACTGCTATGAGTGCACTGTGCTATAAATCCAAACTGTAGTGTTGCCAGCATTGCTGGCTCTAGAAGCAAATTATAGTTGACCACCAATTCAAGTGTTTACTCTGTGCCCTTGCTGGAGGAAACAAATGATTTTTTACTCTTCCAGTGTTTGTGCTCTCCAGTGTAATGACCTTCCCAACCAGATAGCCCTCTCCTAAATATCGGGATGCTGATCCACATTTCCAGTGATGGCAATGTTAATTTTCAATGAAAACATTAATGCTAAGTATTGATTTGAAATCTTCTAGGCACATTCAAGCAAAAGTAAGCTGGATTTCCTCCAAAGTTGCTAGCCTTGTGTGCACTGTTCAATCCATGGAAAAACTCAAATTCCAGACCATTTCCTCCTCCCTTAATAAAAACCTGTTCAGTTACCATACATGATCATATTGGAATGATTTTAATTTAATAAGTGTCTATATGTGCAAAAGCATGGCAAATGGCTTTTCATAAGAATTAACAGTATAAAAATAAATGGTAAATACAAATACCTGTCATCCTGTTATGACTTGGGATATTAAAAAGTAATGTAAATGAAGCATTCCTCTGGAAAGCAGTCAAGACACAATAATAATCACTACCTGGTAAAACAGAGATGCCTAGAAAATATCTCTCTTCTAATAGCATGACAAGTCTTAAAACGAAGTGTATGGGGGTTGCTGCATGGAGACAGATAAAGAAACAAGCTTAGCAACCATAAAGAATAAAAATAGGAAGTTTATACTATATTTTTATAAAACTATTTTGATATTCTTGAGTGTGCAATGTATAAAGTACATTCAGGGGTGGGCAAAAATAGATTTACAAAATTGTGAGTACATGAAACAGTTTATTATTGTATTTATGTATCTATTATTCTATTATTATTTATTATTTTTAATCCACTTTTGCCAACCCCTGTATATATAATATATATAGTATTAACACATTAAAGGAATAAAGCAATGGATAATCTGCTTCATATGTTAAAAATTTGTCTAAGTAGTTGCATTTAAATAAAATCATAAATGATTAGAATTAATATTCAAAGGAATTTTCAATAAATAAATAAATCATTTTACAAACAAATGAGAAGATAAGTAGGTTCAGCTCGATTACTCTATTATTTTCTTCTATACTTCCCCTTGTAAGTAGATCAGTAAAGAATTACAGAAAATTATTTCATATTTTCATATAATTTCCTTCTATTTCTGGCTATGAAGTCTTTCATGACATTTTGAATTGATGGCAGAATCAGACAAGCCAAGCATGATGCTTAATGGTCAATGTCCTTGCTCTGTACTACTCTTCCACATTCACTTCATTATGTCTCCAACCTCTTTGAGGTTCATTCCTTTCTTACTTAAAACCCTCTGCCCCCACACTCATCTCATAGCATCTGTTCAGTCATTTCCTTACAAGAAAAACTTGGAACCTAACTTAACAGTCTCTCTCTCAAGCCCAAGCCCTGCTATCATCTTACACAATCTCAAAGTCATGACTCATGCATGACTCTTCCAATGCCCATGCATTTCGGTTCCTTAACTTCCTCACTTCCAGTGACCTCCACTTCATTTCTGCCATCTACTCCAACAGTCATACCTTAACCTTTCAGAGGATTCTGACACTGCTCTACATCTGCAAACACAAATTCAGGCATTCATGTGTGTGTGCACGCATATACGTTGAAACTTGTATATTAATGAATTTTGCCACTGATTAGAAGTAAACTATTATTGAACTTTGAGATTCCTTCTTTTTTAATATAATAAACCTTCCTGTGAATAGTAGCCTGACATGGTATCATTCTTTTCCTTTTTTATTTTTTAAAAATAACTTCATATATAGAGAAGTTGTGAATGCAATAGAAATAACATTTTTTTCCTGAATTATTTCAGAATATTTCTGACCTGATGCCCCTCACCCCTGAATACTTTAGTGATTACTTCCAGGTTATTTAATCTGTTGGCATACAAGTATTCATAATATTACCATATACTTCTTTGTTTCCTTTTCATACTATTGATAATGATACCCTCTTTTATTTCTAATTTTAGTAATTTGAGTATTTTTTTCTTTGGGGAATGGAGTCAGTGTAACTAAAGGCCTGTCAATTTTGTTGACCTATTCAAAGAACTAACTTTTGGATTCAGTGATTTTTTTCTTCCTATTCTATTTCTAACCTCTATTTCATTTATCTCTTATCTAATCTTTATTATTTCCATCCTTATCCTTATTTTGGGTTTACTGTGGGTTTTTTCTAATTTTCCAGGGTAGAAAGTTAGATTTATTAATTTAAGACTTTTCCTTATTAATATAGATATTTATAACTATAAATAAATTCCTTCTGTTTTTAATGTGATTTTACTGTGGTTAGGAACATACTTTGTATGGCTTCAACCCTCTTAACTTACTGAGTCTTGTTTTATGGCCTATCCTGGAGCCTCGCATATGGTCTATCCTGAAAAATGTTCCACAGGTGCTTGGGAAAATTGTATATTCTGCAGTTCTTGGGTAGAGAATATGGTAGAAGTCTGTTAGGACTAGTTTGTTAGAGTTTTTCAAGTTTTGTTTCAGTTTGATCTTTTCATTAGTTACTTAAGACATTATTGAATATGGCTACCAAGGTCACTGACTTTTAATGCTGCATTATCTATCTAAACTTTTAGTTCTGCCAGTTTTTTAAAAAATGTAGTTTGGAGCTCTGTTGGTAGGTGCATATATATTTATAATTATTAGATCACCTGATATATGGGCTCTTTTATCATTATAAAATATCCCTCTTTACCTCTAGTAACTTTTTTGTTTTAAAGTCTATTTTACATGATGTTGATATAACAGCTTTGGCTGTCTTATGATCATTTTTTGCTTGGTATATCTTTTTGCATCCAACTTTTTGCAATCATCACTTAGACATTTTTGTCTTTGAATCCAAAGTGTCTTCTGTAGGCAGTATATGGTCAGATTATTTTCTTTAATCCATTCTCCAATCTCTGCCTTCTAAAGGGACGTTAAATACATTTGTCAATATACTTATTGATAAGGTAGAAGTTACATCTACTATTTCTTATTTGCTTTCTCCATGTCTTATTTCCTTTTTGTCCCTCCATTCTTCCATTACTGTTTTCTTTGTATTACATAAATATTGTATAGAATACCAGTACCATTGTAATTTTCTTATTGTTTCTTTTGCTTTCATAAAGTTTTTTTTTGTAATTGGCTGCCATGGGGATTACAATTAATATCTTAATTTAAAGACTGTATAATTAGTATAAATATCAACTAATTTCAATTGTATAACACAATTTTTGCTGCAAAAACTTAGTTGCTACACCCTCTCTTGTGGATGGAGTCAGTTTAAGTAAAGGGCTGCTACCTACCTCCTTCTTTGTGCTATTATTGTCAATTAAATTACATCTTGATACACTATAAGCCCATATGGTTTTATAATCATTGCTTTATTATGTATTATTTTAAAATTATATAGAAAACTAAAAAGTTACAAACAAATAAGCACTTATACTGTCTTGTATATTTACCTGTGTAGTTACCTTTATAGTGTTCGTTATATCTTTGAATGGTTTTGTCACTGGCTAGTATCTTTTATTATCATTCCGAAGGACTCCCTTTAGTATTTCTTATAGGCCATATCTGCTGGTGACAGATTCTCTCAATTTTATTTATTTGAGAATACCTTAATTTCTTCTTCATTTTTTGAAGAAAAGTTTTGGTGGATATAGAATTTTTAGTGGGTAACCTTTTCTTTATAATGCTTTGCTTAAGTCATCCCACTGCCTTCTGTGCTTCATAGTTTCCTATAAAAGTTAGTTCATTTTATTGAGGATCCTTTGTAATTTCAAGCTTCTTTTGTGAGACTGCTTTCCTGTTTCTTTGCAGAGCTCATACATTTTGTTAAAAACGGGATGTTTTCAATAATGTAGCAGCTCTGTAAATCTATCCCCCAATAGCTACACTATAATTTGTTGTTGTTGCTGCTGTTTGTTTACTTTCCTTGATTAATTCCCTGTCGTGTTACACTACTGAATTAACTGTAACTCTGCTCAGTTAGCTCATTGGTCAGCTAATGATTAATAAGAAATTTACTTATTTATTTATATTTTTATGCTATTTCAGTTGTCCCACTTTTCCCCCATTCTCCCCCACCCCAAAGCCTGTCCCCCACTCCCACAGTCAATTTCCACGTTGTTATCTATGTCCATGGGCCAGGCATAAATGTTCTTTGACTAATCCCTTTACCTTCTTGCATCCAGTCCCCACTGCACCCCTCCCCTTCTACAACCATCAGTCTATTCCATGTTATTATTCCTCTGGTTCTGTTTATGATCATTAGCTTATTTTGTTCATTAGATTCCTCTTATAAGTGAGATCATATGGTATTTGTCTTTCACTGACTGGCTTATTTTACTTAGCTTAATAGTCTACATTTCCACCTATACTGTCACAAAAGGTAGGAATTCCTTCTTTTTATTGCTGTGTGGTATTCCATTATATAAATGTACCACAGCTTTTTTATCTACTCATCTACTGATGGGCACTTAGGCTATTTCCAAGTCATGGCACCTGTAAATAATGCTGCTATGAACATAAAGGTCCATATATTCTTTTGAATTGGTGTTTCAGGATTCTTTGGATATATTCCCAGAAGCAGAAACACTGGGTGAAAAGGCAGTTCTGTCTTCAATGTTTTGAGGAATCTTCATCCTGCTTTCCAGAGTGGTTGCATCAGTCTCTGTTCCCACCAACAGTGCATTAGAGTCCCATTTTCTCCACCCTTTTCTCTACAGCACTTGTTGTTTGTTGATTTATTAATAACAGCCATTCTAACAGGTGTGAAGCAATATCTCATTATGGTTTTAATTTGCATCTCTCTGATGGCCAGTCATGTTGAGCATCCTTTTGTATGTCAGTGAGCCCTCTGTATGTCCTTCTTGGACAAATGTCCATTCAGGTTCTTTTCCCAATTTTCAATTGGATTGTTTGTTGTCTGGTGTTGAGTCCAGTGGGTTCTTTATATATTTTGGAAATTAAACCCTCATCCAATGTATCATTGACAAACATGTTCTCCTATACAGTGGGTTCCCTTTTCATTTTGTTGATGGTTTCTTTAACTGTGCAGAAGCTTTTTAATTTGATATAGTCCCATTTGTTTATTTTTTCTTTATTTTACCTTCCCTAGGAGGTATATTTGCAAAAATACTGCTACATTAGATATCTGAAATTTTACTGCCTGTGTTTTCCTCTAGGATTTTTATGGTATCATGACTTATATTTAAGTCTTTTATCTATTTTGAGTTTATTCTGGTGTGTGGTATAAGATGGTAGTCTACTTTTATTTATGTATTTTTGCATGTACCAGTCTAGTGCTCCCAATATCATTTACTGAAGAGAATGTCTTTACTACAATATTAATTGACCATAAGAACATGGTTTTATTTCTGGGCTTTCTATTCTGTTCCATTGATCTATATGACTATTCTTATCCCAGTACCAGATTGTTTTGATTACAGTGGTCTTGTACTGCATTTGATATCAGGTTTTGTGATTCCTCCAACTTTGTTCTTCTTTTTTCAAGACTGCTGAAGCTATCTGCGTTCTTTTTTTGGTTCCATATACATTTTTGCAATATTTTTTCTAGCTCTGTGAAATATGCCATTGGTGTTTTAATAGGAATTGCATAGAATCTATACATTGCTTTTAGTAGTATGGACATTTTCATGATGTTAATTCTTCCAACCCATGAACACAGTATATATTTACATTTTTTTTGTACCTTCCTCAATTTCTGTCTTCAGCATTCTATAGTTTCCCAAGTACTGATCTTTTACCTTCTTGGCTAAATTTATTCCTAGCACTTTTTTTTGTAGCTATAGTAAATGGGATTGTTTTCTTAGTTTCTCCTTCTGAAAGTTCTTTGTTGGTGTACAAAGATGCCATCATTGACTTTGTATCCTGCTACTTTGTCACATTCACTTATTAGGTCAAGCAATTTTTTGGTGGAGCCAATAGGGTTTTTTATGTACATTATCATGTCGTCTGCAAATATGTCAGTTTTACTTCCTCCTTTCCAATTTGGATATCTTTTATTTCTTCTTCTTGTCTGATCATTGTGGCTAGGACTTCCAGTACTATGTTGAATAAGAGTGGAGAAAACAGATACTCTTGTCTCGTTCCTGATCTTACGGGAAATGCTTTTATTTTTATTTTTGCCTATTGAGTCTGATGTTGGCAGTAGTTCTTTTGTATACAGCCTTTCTTATGTTGAGGTATGCTCCCTCTATTCCCATTTTGCTGAGTGGTTTTATCATAATTGGGTGCTGGATTTTGGGTGCTGGATTTTATCACATGCTTTTTCTGCATCTGCTGATAAGATCATGTGATTTTTGCCTTTTATTTTATTTATTTGATGTATCACATTTATGGTTTGTGAATATTGTAACAGTGTGTGATCTTTTTGGAATAAATCACAGTGTGTGATCTTTTTGAAGTATTGCTGGATCCAGTTTGCTAATATTCTGTTGAGGATTTTAGCATCTTTGTTCTTCAATGACAATTGGCCGGTCCTATAATTTTCTTTTAGTGTTGTATCTTTTCCTTGTTTTGGAATTACGATAATACTGGCCTCATAAAAAGAGTTTGGGAGTTTTCCCTGTTCTTGAAGTTTTTGGAATAGTTTGAGAAGAACTGGTATTAGTTCTTCTTTGAATGATTAGTAAAATTCACCTGGTTAAAAAAAAAAGCTCTCTGGTCCAAGG